TCGCATGCATCTGCCCTGCGTTTTATAAACCGAAAAATTTCTACATTTTCTATACCCAGGGCGAGCATTGCGGACTAAGGCTCTGCGCGGAAGCACTCGGGTCTGACCATAACTCTGTGGAGCGCGCCATACATCCGTTTGAAGGCACAGTCCACGCTGATCGTTCGTGTGAAGTCAGATCTACCATTTCGCCTTCTTCATTGATGCGCTCCCCTATTTGCATACGCCATGAACAAGGAACATTTCTTTGAGAAGGGCGCAATGGAAGGCTTGCCCCCTCTCGTACCACCAGCAAGGATTCTGCTTTTACCACACAAAACATGTTGTAGAGATCGTAACGAGATATGGATAGATGGCACTCTGACAAAGATGGTTCTGCTTCTGTTGCTGCCAAAATAATTCTGGGGTCATGACTATAAAAACGCGTATTCCCTATCTTTAAAGGCAGTTGGCAGGATAAATCCCTGGGACGAGTAGGATTAATACGCCTGGCAGGACGGAATTCCGCGACCCTGAGCAGGCGCTGCGTAGCGCCTTTTCCAAGGAAGGTACCCTTATAAAGGCCCTATCAAGCTACAACATACCGACCCGAACGCCCACCACGCCCGCCCGCCCACAAATGGTTCCTGATGCTTGTATTGCTTCATTTGTTGATTAAAATATGAAGCGGGACTGATATGAAGCGGGTGCGGTGCTGCATGGATGTATGGGTACATACGTGCAGCCGTACCTATGGTAGCGGTATTGGCAAGATGCCTACGGGAAACTCGTCCGAAATCGATTTTCAAGTCACTGAGAACGGGCTTTTTCTTCGCCGGATTTTGACCGTTTCACTCCGTTCTTTCGCCATTTGTCCACTACACAGCACCCTACATTTTAGGCCGAGTGGGAAACAAACTGCTTTTCGAGTCATTGGGGACGAAGGCTTTCCTTCGCCATTTCCCCCACTATATAGCGCCCAGCTACAAGTTAGGCCGAGTATGAAATTATCGCGCCATATGCCTTTAATAATGTTTCGAGTAACATAAATGTTGTTGATCCCGAAGGAAATGCATTCCATGTATAAATGACTCAGCATATGGGCATTCAAACATATCTTTCGCGGATATTTTCGGAATAATTTCATTTCACTGAGCAGTAGCAATTGCGGCAATGAATCATTTAATTATTTTTCTGCTATTGGATGGTTTCATAATAATAAACTTGGTTGTGGTGAAGGTGGTGAAATGATTCGCAGTGACAATTAATGTACGTTCTGAAGGCGGCGAAGCGTTTCGCGATGAAGATCGACAACAACTTGTTGGTGGCACAAATGGCCCAACGTTGGGATGATGTTCGATCACATTTCGACCATTCAAGTCATACCAACCTCTATCTCGTCGACAAGGAGAAACCATCTGGTGTTGTACGTATCACTTTCACTGTGAGTTCCTCTTTTATGTTGTGGTAATTTGAATGGTGCATGGTTTGAATAGGTTTTTATCTGAATCAGGGTGAATTTGCTGTGGCAGACAGGGCATCTCGTACCTTGCGGGCTCCCAGCGGGGAGAGGGTCGTATTCAGTGGTTGAGGAAGGGAGCGCGGTCGCATTTCCTTCCGAGAAAAATGTTTCCGGTTGGACTTTTCTTGGTTTCCCCTTGGCTTTCACGGTGAATTGCACTGGCGTTCCTCCGCCCCTTCGCTGGACTGCAGGTTTTTGGGGAAGAGTGGAACAGGTTTTTGGGGAAGACTGGAAACTGAAAAGTTCTCTAGAAAAGTTGGGGTGGATATGAAAGATAGGATGGGTATGGGCTAGGGTGTCGTACCAGTGGAGGGAGTTGTTGTGGAGTTATATTTTGCAGAATTTTTCCACAACGGGAGGACGTGAGCTGACGGTAGCGTCCTTATCGTAGAAGCGCTCCTTGAGAGCAGTACTCGACTCTATTCCGTCCTTCTCATCTCCTTCGGTCATATCGATACGTAATACGTCCGTTTTGCCGAAATGACACAAATAGTAGGGGCAGGTGGCGAATAGTGCCGCTTGCCAAGTGCACCTCGAGTCAAGTCTCGGATTGGCTCCAACCCGAGACAGCCAGGTCTTCATTTTCTCTCTCTTCCTCCGGGATCAGTTGATTAATACATTGTCCGGGATCCTACAATGTACAGTTAGCCCGTGCAGCTCCTTCTTAAGCTAAATCACATTCAAGTGCAGCGACGATTCTTGATAGCAGTAAACTATCTAGCGCATCCCAGAAAGGAATATTCAGTAGCGGATA